TTGTTCTTTTGTCTAGAAACCTTGCAAGTAATATTTACTAATCGCAGTAATTTATCTATAGATGCCTTTTTTTTTTTTTTTTGAGACAGAATGTTGTTCTGTGGCCCAGGCTAGAGTGCAGTGGTGTCATCATAGCTCACAGCAACCTCAAACTCCTAGGCTCAAGCGATCCTCCTACCTCAGCCACCTGAGTAGCTGGGACTACAGTTGTGCACCACCACGGCCAGCTAATTTTTCCTAATTTTTGTAGAGATGGGGACTCACTCTTGTTCAGGCTGGTCTCAAATGCCTGACCTCAAGCAATCCTCCCGCCTCGGCCTCCCAGAGTGCTAGGATTACAGGCGTGAGCCACCGCGCCCGGCCTAGTCTGAATATTTCTTTCAACTTACTTTCCAATTTATTGATTTGCCTTTCAAAATTTTCTGTTTTAACTCATGAGTGTTTAAGTTTTGTTATTTTTATTTTTCAGTTCTAGGGTTTCCCTTTTGTTTTATGGTATCTGGTTCTCTGCTGATATATTCAGTTTTGTCTTTTATTTTCTTAACTATATTAAGCATGATTATTCAAGTCTTAAGTTTGATAGTAGTCTGTAGTCTGATAAGTCTCTTCTTCTTGTATCCCTGTAGTTTGTTCTTTTTGCCTTTTGTTTTTCTTAGTTTTCTATAAAAATGGTTATATTGTCTCAATTCCTTGTTCTAGTTATTCTTTTTTTCTGAGTGTCAAACTTTGTATATGAAAGATTAATGAAGTAATTTGAAGCTTGTATGATGATGCTACTTTTATTCAGAGAGAATTTACCTTTGCTTCTTGCAGGAAACTAGAATAACCAACATCATAGGATTACTTTTGATCCTACTTCAAAGGTAGAGATGATTTGAAGCAAGACTGTTAGAGCCAGACTATTTCCAGTTTATCTTTTTTCCTAAGGTGTTAGTTTTGGGTTACAACTTGATGGTTTGCCAGGCTCCCATCTACTTCTTGGGCCCTGAACCCAGATGTTTGCTCCCCAAACCGCTCAAGCTGTTTGGAAGATCTGCTCAGCTTTTTAGTCTCTCAGCTGCCCCTTCTGGAATCTGTTGATTCCTTTGGGCGAAATGGTGGCCTTCAATGCCAGGATCACTTCCTCTTGGTCTCCCTCCCCCCCAAAACCCCAAATTCCAAAAATCCCCCCCCCCCTTTTAACCGGCCGAATTAATCAAAAAAGCAATTTCCCGCCAACCTTTCCAAGTGAAAAAATAACAAGGGGAAGGGTTCCCCCAAAAACCCAAACCTCCAATAACAAAAAACCAGAATTTTCAAGGAAAAGAAAAAGCCCGGGGAAAAAAGAACCTGCTCTTTGTGAAACACAAAACCAAGACTGCCAAGTTTTCCTAATTTGGAAGAGCATCAGAGAAGCACAAAATCATGAGAGTAAAGTGTACGTTAGTCACATATTTGCTTGCTTATGTTACAATAAAAACAACCCCCAAATTTCAGTGGCTTATAATAAGAAACTTTATTTCTCATTAATATTACAGTTTGGCTCTGGTTGACTGTGGCTCTGGTCTGTATTTTCTTCATTCTGGAGTTTATAAGGAAATAAAAATTCCTATCTGCTATATGCCCCTTTTTTTTTGTGGCAGTGTTGGATAGCTCTTAAAACACCTTAGGTGTCCTATGTCAGTCTTACTGACGTTTCATTGTCCAAACTAAGTCGAGGCTATCCTTTTACATGGAACAACACCTCAAATCACATGGCAGTGGGTGGGGCTGTGTAATGTTACAGAAAAAAGCAGCAAGTAATAGCAACAATAATACAATCTACTACACAGAGGCACGCAGTGTCAAGAAGGAAGAGGAGTCAGTATAATGCTGAAATACATTCACTCTTTAAATGGTGACAACTTAGTGACTTTATAATAGACTCATTAGCATTTGACAAAAAAAGTTCCTTTTTAAAAAAATGTCTATGTCTTTAAAAGATATTAATATACAAGAACTTGGGTGTAGTTTGGAGAAGAGCTCTCAAGTTATATTGACCCCCCTCCCTTGAGTAGATCCTTCCCACTTTCTGAGACATTCTGGGGCTCCACGAGGGATATAATCGATGGATTACATCTTGATATTAACCCAGACCCCCTCTTCTACCCTCCCGAGATGATTATTTTTAGCAGGCATGGTTGCCGGCCAAGAAGCACTTGGCAGCAGTTGTTTCAGTGAAGTTCTACCTTAATGCCCAGGGATCCTGGATCTGCAGTATCACTAGCAGCTAATGATTAGCCTCAGCAGCCCATAACAAGCTCTGATCCGTACCAGAGGGTGCCAAACCTGCTGGGGCCAAACTCTACTTAGGAACAAGAGGCCGTTGGTATGGAGGATGTGCTTAGGACATTCCAACCCACATCACAGTGAATGATATTCTACTTATATCTGTTTAGGATTAAGGCTATTTTGAGGAATACATCCTTTAGAGTGATATTTAGAACAACTAGAAGACTGATG